GCACAAAACTCAACTCAAAGTGGATCAAAGACCTAAGAATTAGACGAGGGATCCTGTGCTTAATAGAAGAAAAAGTAGGAAAAATATTCATCATATTGGATTAGGCCCTGACTTCCTCAACAAGACTTCTAAAGTGCAAGAAATAAAATCAAGAATTAATAAATGGGATGGACTCAAACTAAAAAGCTTCTTCTCAGAAAAAGAAACAATCAATGATGTGAAGAGAGAGCCCACATTTTGGGAGCAAATTTTTGCCACACGCAGGTCAGATAGAACAGTAATCCCCAGGATACATAAAGAACTCAAAAAAACTTAACACCAAAAAATCAAATAACCCAGTCAATAAATGGTATTATTTGTTTTTGAAGTGATTCCTTAGGTGACTTTTACTTGTGCTTGTACACTGGAACACAAGCAAGCATATTAGCTGTGTTTTTCAAAAAATATATTTTTAGCTATCCTATCATGGTAAAGGGAAATACAAAGGACCATTTATATAATTAAACAAAAATATAGTTTATTTTTCTTCAGTTTTAAAATGAAATGGGTATCTAAACTTAACATATATCATATGAATTTAAACAATGATTTCCCAGCACCCCTTAAGCAAGTCAGGTTGATTATCTATCCTTCTGGACATTGGATGACACCCTCATCTTTGTCTCTGGGAAACATCATTTTCCCTTTTTCATCATCAATGTAAGTGAAGCCCGGTGCTCCCCATACTGGTTGTACTGGTTCCTTGCCTTGCTAGGTAGGGAAATAGCCTGATGGGTGGGTGGAGACATATAAGTTTCAAGTTATATCTTGCACTAAAAAGCACTAGTTAACTTGGTAAAGAAGTATTTGAAAAGAGATTGCAGGAGACTTTAATTAGATACTTAACATATTTAAGTCTCAATAAATTGCTAGTAGTTTGTTCATACATGTGAAGAAAAGAATAAATGAGTTCAAATGGGCACTAAGGAAAAATTAAGTAGCAGAAAGCAAAATCAGTGTAAGAAACCAAGAAAGTACTGCTGTAGGAGCTAAGACTTCTGAATAGAAGATACCCAAAAATAAGTAGAGATGAACAAAGAAAGGCTAACTTTGGGACTGAATAAGATATAATAAAGGTGGACTTGAAGAGAAAGTATTTGCCATTCAAAGAAGGTAGTAGCAGACAATTAAAGGTTTAAAAAGAAAGAAAACAAAAAACCAACCAAGTAACATAAGGCATAGAATTATGGTGATGAACAGAAATTGCAAAAATATCTGCTCCAATTTTTAGGAAACAGGTTCTATGGAAAGAAATGAGAGGTGGAGAGTAAGCATCCACTATGCATCAGATACTTTATGTATACTTTTCCTGTTCAGTCTTCATGAAAAGAACCAAAGTGGTGACCACAATTATATTCATTTTTACCTTTGAGGGAACAGGCACAGAGAACTAGCCACTTCCCAAAGGCACACAGCTAATAAAGATTGGCAGCAAAAGGAGATGTTTATTTTCAAACCTATGCTTTTAAACAAAAAACAAAATCTCCCAAACACCTATATTACATTGCTACTCAAAAGAAATGAGTTCGGAAGATAGCTGAGGTGGAACGCAGCAGGAGGATGTTTTGCACATTTGGCCTGTGGGAACACTTTTACTGTTTGTGAAAGCAACGCATTGGTGAAATGAGAACCAGATTGCAGAAAGTGAAAGTATCAAAAGAGGAGAACAACAGAGAAAACCAGAGATGGTGGGCGCAGGCCACGCCTGTATAAAATGCTGGAAGGAAAGAGGCATAGCAGGGGCTGGGGTTGTGGCTGGGGTAGAGCACTCGCCTAGCATGTGTGAGGCCCTGGGTTTGATCTTCAGCACCACATAAAAATAAATAAATAAAGTAAAGGTATTGTGTCCAACTACAACTCAAAAATAAATATTAAAAAAAGGCATAGCAAACTATCAGTAACTATGTAAGTTAAGTTTTCTTAATGCATTTTTGTCATTATCTAGAAGGATAGGCTGCATGATGGTCTTAGCAAGGGAACGTTCATTCTCTAAGAGGGCTAAGCTCTAATTTTTCAACTGTCGTTTTTAAAAATCATTCCCCTGTATAGAATAATTCCCAAGAATTTAGAAAGTGAGTGAACTAAACTAACCTTGACTTTTGGGCACATAATCTGTTGGACTTGGTCATAGGGCCTCCCATTATGTGTTTTCTTTAAAGTCATTCTGTTAATGACAGCAGATGACAGCATCAATACTTTCATTGGAGGAGCTAACATTTCTTTTTAAAGAAACTACATTTCTTTTGATGTCTGACAACCCAAAGGGATCATGCAGGATTTTTTTTTTCTTTTTTTAATGAATAAATAAAGGAAGGCATCACTTAATTTTGGTTTTGTGGGGAAAAATAAATTCCCTGCTGCTTTTGGGGGAGTGTTTCTGGTTGATATTCCCAGAGCTAACTGAGTTTTCAGTAATTTGCTATTAGTACTGACTATGCTTGCTGAAGATTTGGCTAATGAATATTTTATAAAGCAGGAGGAAGATGCTAAGTCTCCATTTGGATGACTGCCAAGTCCTAAACCTCTTACCTTGATGTGGCTTCTCAGCTCTAGTCTTGCTGTTTCTGTTGCCCGAGGCTGTCTCTATCTAATGTTCCACTATTAACTGAAACTCCCAGTGACAAATAAAACTTGGTATTTTGTTTCTCAAACCCTTTCTGTTGATATCCCTATTTTTGCTAACAGAATCATAATTCTAATTACTTAGATTTAAACTTTCAATCACAGGAGCTACTATTCATCAGGGGCTATCTCTCAGGGATTATGCTGTTGAATTTAGCAAATATGAATTTCATCTACCAAAATCCTGTGTGGTAGGCACCAACATTATTATTACTTTACTACAGGGAAGTTGCAGCTTGGTGAGATCAGTGATTTATTTAATTTTACTTAAAAAGTGCCTGGAATGGCAGGATTTGGTCTGAAGTCTGAAAACACCCAGAGCTTGAAACCTTAGGCCATCTCTCCAGGCCGGAGTGCCTCAGACGTTGTCCATGTAACGTCGCACACAACTGCTGTCTCCTGTTTTCAATGCCATTGCTTCGATCAGATTTTCATCACCTCTCATCTCTCCTACTTTTTTTCCTGATCTTTTCCACCATCTGCTCACAGTTGCTTCACCTAAACTGCTCTACTGAAAAGCCTTTGATGATTCCCCTTGGTCTGAGTGTCACTGCCTTACCCAGTCACCTTCCAGTCTTACCACCTTCTAACCAACTTACCTTCACAAATGCTGTGTTTGATCCAGTTTATACTCCTTGCTGTACTCCTGTGTCTGTTGGACTTCTACTTACCCCCTTCATAGTCTAGATGAAGTTGTTACTCCCCTTCACGAAGCTGTCCATAAATCCTCTAATCAGACAAAAGCAGCCTGAACTTTTCCTGTGACAACAAATTCTGCCCTATACTGTGGTCACCTGTGTACTTCTGTCATTCTTTTTTTTTTTTTTTAATTAGTTGCTCCTGACAATACAATGATCTTGACATATCATACATTTGATTCAAATGGGGTATGAATTCTCATTTTTCCAAGTGTAGAGGTTGCAGAATCACATTGGTTATACGGCCACGAATATACTTACAGCAATACTAGTGTCTATTTTATTCTGCTGCCCTTCCTATCCCCCCTCCCCTCCACTCCCCTCCCATCACCTCTCTCTACCCAATTTAATGTGACACATTTCTCTCTCTCTTTTTTTTCTTCCCCTCACATCATCATATATGTATTTTGTATAACGATGAGGGTCTCCTTCCATCTGTTATTCTGATGGGATTCCATCTCGTTCCTCAAAGATTGAACTGTGCTTTGCTGTTTTCTGTGAAGCTTGGAGTTGGGCAACTCTGTGCCACGTACTTAAGGGTAAGGATGAATTAGATTTTATTTGTAAGGTGTTGTCAGGATATGTGGTCCATGTACTCAATTATTTTGACCTAGTATGGGGAAACAAAACTAATATTCAAAAAATTAACTGAGGAACAAGCAGGAGTTCAACTATGAGAGTCATCAGAGAAGAGAGAGCAGGAGGATGCAACGGGGGGGGGGGGGGGGGCGGGGGAGAAGGACTTGGAGAGAAGGAGAGACCTGAGGCTGACTCAGAAAAGTAAAGAAAGGTGCTGACAGGGAGTGGGGAGGCGTGTTCTGAGGTGAGAAGAGCATAAGTGAATGTTCTGAGGTGAGGAGGGACACAGCCGGTCCAGGAAGAAGAATGGCACACAGGAAGCCTAGGGAAATGCCAGGGATGTTAAGCGTTTTTTAGAGTAAAATAACTCCTGCAAATTTACAGTATCATTTCTTTAAAAATTTCTTACCCCAAGGCTTTGTGTGGTAACTGGCACTCTCCTAAATTAGTCACAATAAATTGGTTTTTACTGTATATTCTTCTACTGCTATATAATTGCTAGAATTCATCTCTGAATTCATCTGAATTACAGTAGTACATGGCAATGTGATGAGGAACTGCTTCTTTTGTTTTTTTACCTGTTACCATGTTTTAAGGCTTTGATGCCGTTAAAACTTAGGATAAATGCTGATAAATTATTTCGTGGATTAGAATTTAGCACTCTGAAAAAAAAACTACTTTTTAAAAAATTTTTACAATTGGCTTTCTATTTACTACAAATGTTTCTTCATTCGGCTTTATTCATGCAAAATTGTTGTGAGATTATCCCTGCCATTGGTCCAAGAAGGAAGTTGTTCACAAATGTGTAATGAAAACACAAAGCTCATCTACTTACAACATTTATAATGTAATCCAGATCCAAAATCGACCTGTGGAGACGGGACAAATATTGGTTGTGATAAATTACCACACACACATATTCCCATGAAAGCACTAACAGAAAAAAACTGAAAATTGGGGCTGGGATTGTGGCTCAGTGGTAAAATGCTTGCCTAGCATGTGTGAGGCACTGGGTTCAATTCTCAGCACCGCATATAAATAAATGAATAAAATAAAGGTCCATCAACAGCCAAAAAATTTTTTTGAAAAAACCCTGAAAATTGACAAATTCACTTTGAAAAGTCGTTTGGTAAGCCAGAAAAAGGAGAAGGAAAGGGATTTAAAAGGCAGGCATTTTTTACTACATTTTAGGGAAGAGTAAGACACCCAAACATTTAAAAGTACAAAGCAATGACTGGTTTTTCCATTTGTTAAGTTCTTTTTGATATGAATTACACATCATTTTTTCCTTGGGACTATAACATTGCTAATTTTCTCCATATGTGAACGATTTGTCTTTGACCTTTAACGAACGTCCTCTAGGCAGTCGACTTACCATCCAGGAACAACACAGCATCGTTTTACATGCACACAAAGGCCTGAAAGCTCCATAAAAATAAATGATCCATGGTATAAGATACATTAACTAGCAGAATAATAAGCTATTTCAGCCCTGTAAATTTTAATGCCCATCCATTCAAAACCACACTGGGTCACTTTAGTATTAAATTCAGAGGAACAAAATGGTAAGTATACATGTTTTATTTGTTAAGCTGCCAGCTATACATTTTGTGTAAAATTTCATGAGTGGGGGGAGAACCTATTCAGAGACACATCAGGCAGTGCATATTTAAAAGTAGTGTCTCTTTCTAATATGTGATTTTATGTGTTACAGATACATTTACTATTAAGCATCATGTATATTTAATATAATGTTTACTTCAGTGTCCTAAAAAGCCTTTGTTCAGTTATAGTTTCCATTATCGGAGAGCCAATGTACGGTCCTTCCACAATTTTGTAAAGTGCATACAGCCCACAAGAGCTTCTAGTTTTAGCTTGAGGCCCCATGGGACCATGGTAATTGTTATGAAGTCATTAATTCTACCTCAGCAGTTTCAACTGTCAGGTACATGTAACAATAATTGCAGTTAATGAATGCTGCTCAATTTATTAAGTGCAAAATGAAAACCAGTATTCCTTTATAATGCAGCACTGAGGCATATTAACATTTATCATTTGTGTACACCATGTTGACTATTCCACTATCTTCTGTTGGCCAGGATATATAGTCATATATTGCCAAAAATTCTCTTCATCAAAAAGGATTGCAGGAAATTCTAACTTTCTAGCTAAAGGATAATTAAAATAGTTACTATCCAAAGTTTTTTTTAATAAGAATCTGTGTTTATGAAAAACAATCCAACAGAACCAAGACTTAGTTCCTGCTGTGGATAAACAAGACTCTCTCATACACCCTCCCTGACCCTGATCCTTACAATGTGAAAAGGTTCAAAAGCTTCCAGTTGTTTGAAGTGTTAGTCTTAAAATTTTTTGACAGTAACACTTTGTGTGTGCACAGATACAGCCCATTTCATGATTTGAAAAGAAAAATCAACATTTCTCATTTTCAATCACTCAAAGTAAACTGCATAGACATTTGCAAGAGCAAAGAGAGAAGAATTTCTGAAAACATAGGATGAAACTGTATCACTTTTAGGATCCCAGAGGCATCTGCTTCCAATAAGTATGCTCTGACCATTCAGTTGTCCAATGTGAATCATTACAATTAGTTTGTACCGTGGAATCATCAATTCCTTGACCCGGGCTTTAATAACCTAGAAATTTAAAAAAAGGAGGAGTTCCTCATTTAGCCACATATTGAAACTCAGAGATCTCAATCTTTGTTATACACATAGTGGATTTAAAAAAACAGTGTGATGCATCGTAGATGCTTTCCATAGTGGTTGTAGAACTGAAGCTATGATTTCCTTTAGAACTGTCCTCATGTGATGGGATGTCCAGGGGAAAAATCATAACATCAGCAATAAATCTACATTTTCTAAGGCACATGGAAAAACTCATTCAGGGCACATTGCAATTTAATGCTGTGTTCTTGAAAACCTAAATTAAGGCAGCATCCCTTCAAGAGTGTTAGCACTAGGCTAGTCTAACTAGAGTCACACTGTCTTGAAGGTCTGACGAGGAGCCATTCTCTGCAATCTCTTGTAACTTGAGCAGTCACAAAGGTTTATTAAATAGTTCACTAAAAACACAAAGCAGAGGAAACCATGCTAAAATGATAGTAATTTAGTTGATAAAACTAGAAAGGATTTGGGGATCCATTGTCTATATTTAATGGCTCTTAAAAAAGCTGCTATGGTGAAAAGAAAATGATGACCAAAACACTATCTTTTACAATAAAAATTTTTAAAGTGAAGTAGTTTTTATATATTTTTGTTCAAAATACATTGTTTTTTACCTTATTATTGCTTTTAATTTTATTCTTTTTTTTTTTAGTCATACATGACAAAATACATTGTTTTAATGAGGGGAGAAAGGGAACTTAGGATTGGGCAAAAGGGAGTGAGGAGAGGGGAGGGGGTAGTGGGGTGGTGGGAAAGATGGTGGAATGAGACAGACATCATTACCCTAAGTATATATACGATTGTATGAATGCGACTCTACATCGAGTACAACCAGAGAAATGCAAGTCTGTGCTCCATTTTTATACAATGAATCAAAATGCACTCCGCGATCATGTATAACTAATTAGAAGAAATAAAAAAACCACATTGTTTTAGACAAATGCTTGTTATACAACACATATATGGCGTATGACATAATAAATAGTTTGATAAAATATAATTTTTTAACTACTACTGAATGGTGAATTTCCTTCATTAAAAGTAGAAGGTGTGTTATGCTTTCAGCAAATAGCTAACCACTTGGGCAAATCACACATGTACCTCTGAAATTGTTTTAGTTATCTGTCTGCAGAACTCTGGTTCATACTCTTCTTTTTGCAGATAGTCAGTCAACACATCTTGCAAGATATGATTAACAGTGACCACAGGAAAATGTTTGGTAGGACCTGAAAATACACATGGAAGTTCTTTGTAAGAAGTAATTTAAAATCATATCCTCCAGCCCCGTAGGCTAATCAGAGAACACTGAAACATGGAGAGGCCTTTACTAGTCTGGTGGCCTCTATATAATAAGGAAGAAAGAGGTCCTAATGAGGTGTCCAGTTAAGTTTTTCTGGGGGAAGAAAAGAAGACAATACATCAGACTATGTACAGAGTGTGATTAACACTGTTCGACTTTGCAGATCTTTATTCCTAGTTCCCATGCTGGTGACTTAACTTCAGTGTCAACATATTTCCAGTTGGCTCCCCAGCTCTTACATCCTCTAATTTACCTACCATATTGCAATGAGAACAATTGCTTGAAACCCTGGACCCTGAAGTGACTTTTCCCTCAACAAGTTCTACGGTTTGGCTCCTAACCAACCTATGGTCTCTGCTTCCCCTGCCATAGCTCCCATACTCCCATAGCTGCTCCGGCTCCTGGAGCCCACCTGTTTTTTAAAGGATGCTCATGTGTCTTTTTCTTGCACTTACTTTCAAGTGGAGCACCACTCCCCATCTGTGCATCTGAGAAATATCCACTCATATTTCAAGTCCAGCTCAGATGTCTTCTTCAGATAGACTTGAACTTCCCCTCAGGTGCAATTCATCCCTCAGCTCTCCCTAATTCCCGCACACTGGTCCCTGCTGCTATACTGGCTCATAATCCACTTGATAATAGCTAAGGCAAACCTGAGTTTCTCTCCAGTGAAATGGTAAGCAAGATTGGATTTTATCCTTTTTAAAGTCTAAGTCAGTGCTAAGCACATAAATATTTAATGTATGATATCTGAATTTAAATAGAATTAAACACTTTATAGATAATAATCATCACACAAATAATGGCTACTTTTTTTTTTTTTTTGCTGGTCATTTTCTATGTATCAAGCACCATGATAAGCACTTCACTTTTGTTTATATAATTGTTTATACATCTGAGGTGAATCTCCCTTGTTATCTCCAATACACAGGTCTAAGTACATTTCATTAACCTGTCTAGAATCACACAGTGGCAGAGCTGGGGTGGACAGGTTTGTCTAATACTAGAGTTTATATTTTCAACCACATTTAGTTCACATTCAGGTCATAATTTCACACGAATTTGTTTTATCCTGCATCCCTGGAATATTAGCCTTATGACCCCTCTGGTCATCTGCTCATGTCATGATATAACGTGGCAACTGTGTCAGGGCTTGACATCTACACTCTGAGTCATCTGATAAAGATGAAGGAATGAGACTGGGAAATCCAATTCTCTTTTAGAAATCATCAGTATCTATTAATAAGTTTAGTTTTAATGCCTGTATCTGTCAGGGTCTAAGTAAACATGGCAAACTGAAGTTAGGAAAATCCAGAATGATTTAATCAAGGGTCTGACTGGGTCAGAGGAAATCCTAAGGGATAGTGTGCTGGGAGCCATTAGCCAAGTAGGTATGACAATTTCCTTGCCAGCGTACCCCATGTTGCTTAGTGGAAGGACTCGTGGAAATAGGACATTTTGCAGTGACATTGCATGTAGGTGACCTTGCTCAGGGACCAGGACGGATTAGGGTGTTCCCGGTTTAGGATAATCGGGTTTAGGGCGTTCCCGGTTTAGGTTCCAGGTTTAAGGTTTAAGATCATTCCTGCTGGGAATAGGGCGTATCCTGCTGCCTGAGTTCCCCTTGAGTTCTCACGGGATTCAGACAGTATTTTTTGGGAGACAGAAGCCCAGTCGGGTGGATTTGGGCAGAGAACGTGGATTTCCCCAGAACGTGATTGTAGATGGCTGGTGTGAGTTCGGGAATAAAGAGTTGCTGTCTGAATCTACAAGCTGTGTGGTGGCTCGTGATTCTGTGCCCAGCCAGACTGCGGCATTTGTGCCCAGCCAGACTGCGGCAATAGTGCAGTCCTCATGGCCAGTGGAAGTGAGTATGTCACCCTCACCCAACCCTTGGCTCAAGGAATCCGGGAAGGCAACTCTTAATCCCAGAACAGTTGTGTGGAGATGGCTCCCTTGTGAGCAGCTATCGTCCTTTGGCTGAGATGAGCCCATGGGCAAGGATCCAGGAAAGTGAATTCCCAGGCTGCACAGTCTTCCCTTCTATCTTCCTGCTGAAGTTTCTTAGGCTGAACTTAACAGAAGGGTGTAGTTTGTGACCATAGGCTAGTCACCTGAGGATCCAAAAGTAGTATTTTCACTTGGATAATATAGAAATTGCTCACTTCAATTTAAATCACGGTGGGAAGTAAGTCTACACATGTGATACGATGACTCTGAGAACTAACCACTATTAAAACTAACCATTATTCAGCAGAAATCTTTCTTCTATGGAACAGACATGAGATTATCAATCTGTGAATGGCTTGCTCCTGCTGCTTGGGGTCAGAGATAGAGCGACACATGTAAGTGCTCCTGTAAACTAGTTCCAATTCATACAGTTCTATTACTTTCCTGTGGACCTTATAGAAAATTTCCATTTGAATATTCTTGGCCATCGTCATTCACATGGAACTTAGTTCTGCCTGGCATTGTATCTACTTACAGGCATGATTTCCTTTAGAAAATGGCAAATTCCTTGAGTGCAGGTATTTTGTCTGCCTAGTGCTCCTCTCTTCCTTCTGGAAACAGTATCTTCCCTTCTGGGAACTGATCTCTTCATTCTCCACTCATGTGGCTCTTTAGGATCTACCTCTCACCTTCCATAAGCTCAAGTTCTGAGCACGGTTGATTGACTCACAGGTGACACTGCCCTGAGACAGGCCAATTAGAGTCCTTTCTAATTAGACACTCTTATTTTAAACTGGAACTAGGAAAAAAAAAGAGTCAAACTCTTTCTTTAGCAGAAGACTTATGAATCTTAGGAACTGCCAAAGGCCATATTTTTTTTCATGGTAGAAAGGAAGCCTGCACACAGGTTAGCACTGGAAAGAGAATCTGGGTGACACTTGAGTCCCTGTTCCCAGTAGTTCCCATTGTCCAGCTGTACCAATGTTCTTTCCATACTTTGCTCATTTTTCCCCCCAATCCTATTAACAAGCTTCTATTTTGAAAACATTTTGAAATATAGAAATAAAAATTTCTTTTCTCATTTCATTGTGGCCTTTCCCTACACATCCAGCATCATCCATTGCTTAGATTGGGATGCTGAGATAGAGAGATAGAGATAGAGATAGATAGAAAGAAAGAAAGATAAAGGAGTCAATGATGATTTTCAAATTAAGCTGCTCTGAAGTCACTTTCAGAATTGACTAGCTTTTCTTCTTCTTTTTTTAAGGTAGCTTTTTACCCCAACTGTTTTAGAAATTTAAAGGCAAAGATGTGAAGAAATCATGACCAAATAAAATTAAAAATAGATTTAAAAGAGGACAGCTAAAGATCACTTAATATATCCATGCCCAATTCTAAGCTGGGGTAATGAGAATCACAGCATATTAATTTTTGTTAGGATTAAATGAATTAAATATTTACAATGTTTAGAACAGTTGTACCGCATAATGAAACACTCATTAGATATTTATTTTATTGGTGTTTTGCTGTTACTGTGGTTATGGTCCTCTGAAATAAGCGGTGGGAGAGGATGCGTCTTGCTGAGAAGACAGCAGGATGGGAGAGGAGATAAGTAGGAAGACAGTAAGGCCCCCAGGGTTGGGAAGGACCCATGGGGTGGCACAGAGTCAATGCTGAGAGATTGACAAGTTCTGCCCAAAAAAATCTGACACCAGAGACAGCACTGCACCAAAACTGAGCTCAGGTGATCTCTGTCTCTCCTCTCAGTACGTAGGTTCTACTTTCTATTATGCTGCTTCATTCTCAGGCAGGCTGTCTCAGCGTGATTGCAAAGATGGCTAACAAAAGCCCTCATGCTTATAAACAACGTTTTTAAAGAATCAGGCACCACTTTAATCATAACTCCAGAAAAAGTCTCATGGAACACTTAATCTATAATCAATAGGAAGCTACATTGAATATCACAGGAGGCCTTTATTCTTAGAGATTATGGTATGTTTCTGGAGTCTGACACTTTTAGGAGCAATAGAAACCAATAGAGAAGCAATTCAAATAGATTAACTCATTTGATTCTCATAGACTATTATCCTTATTTACATATGAAGAAACTTAAGATTCAAGGATGTTAAACACTTGACTCAAATATCATTTGCCTAGAATTTATCAAAACTAGAATTCAAATTTAGATGTATCAGATCCCAAGCCTGTGTGTTCTTCTGTACTCTTGTTTAGTAATTAGTGAAAAAATGCAAATTATGTTTACTTAAAAAAAAAAAACTTTCTCCATTTCTTCTCCTACTTTCATGAATTACACTCACGTTGCACCTCAATTTTGGTAACTGTAATTGTTCAAAGGGAGGACAAACCTACTATACACTTAAGATGTGTTTAGGTGATGCTAACGTCATTGGCTAAAATAAAAATTTAAACATGATAGAGCTGGTAGCTGACTGATTTCCATCCCCACTCTTCTAGCCAGTATTACATTGTGCAGATATGAGAAAATTTTACTAAAGGCTCACAGAGTACCTTTCTCATGCAAAATAAGCCCAGAAATAAGTAGAAGTGGAAATACAGTTTTGATTAAAATGGCTATCTGAATGCTTTAAAAAAGTGGATTGTGGAATATAAAGAGACTTTAATCATAAATAAATAATTCATGCAGACTTTTATTAGAAAATATGGAAATATTTTATCTGTACTAAGCTTTTCCTGAAATTACTTTTCTAACTTGGTCCAACACCCAGTACTAAAACTGACAAGATAATTTAGTTTGTCTATTTAAAGAAATACGTTGTGAAAATGTAGCCTTACAAAGAAGAAACACAGGAATTCACATTTCAACTGCCTTATCTTTTTGAAATCTGATTCAAAGCTTTTCAGTGGGTATAGCTCAAGGGTATAGGCCCCCAGTGCTTAAGAAGTTTGGGTTATAAGAGGGGAAAAATCCTGATCCAAACTTTTCTCGCCAAACTGAAAAGTCTAAGGTAGCCAACTGGATTTAGGATTCAAATATGGCATCAGGATTCAGTTGTTCTCTCTCAGTTTCATGTGAGGGCAAGATGGTAGAAAATGCCACAGACCCTACATTTGTTTGGATTCCATGGCTTTATCTGCTTCTCTAACAGTTCAAACAATATTTCCTGAATTTAATCTCAGAAGTTTTTATTGGATTGACCAGGGTTACATGCCATCCAGAATCAGTTACTGAGCCATCTATGAAGCCAGCGTTAGTCACAGCAGAATTGAGTGGACAAAATGTGGTAATGGTGGTGGTTGTGGAACATCCGCAAGGAAAATTGGGTATTGTCACCAGAAAGAGTATAAAAGTGTATTGATGGCAGCAATATTAGCTAGTGGAAACCTAGTCGACTGACTAATTATGAAGCCCTATAATCCATGCAGTTTTAGAGATTACTGTTGAAAACTGCATACAGGGTCTAGTAGGATGCACTGGTAGTTTATAATTTTCTTGGGGTTAACTGGTCACAGATGGAATTACCCTGGCTCATGGGGCCTTTCTTTTCTTTTCTTTTTTTTTCCTCTTGGGAAGTCTCTGTGGAATTTCTACAGAGCAGTAATTACACATAAATTCAGATAATCGTGGGCAGGTACATATTTAGAGAAAACAAGTAGGTCTATGAGAAACATGAATGGGAAAAGATATTTGCTATGGGCTCCACTTGGGAGTATAGGGGCAGGTGCAAAGATCTTTGTTTTCAAAGACCTGAAACCTCTGTGGTAATAGATAAACATCTCTGTCAACAGGGGACCACAAATTATTTGCTTCTGCCTTGAAGATTTTTCCTCCACCCATCAACAGTACTGGTTGGTTTTGTTGGATAAAAAACATCAACACATATATCTTTCACTTAACTTGTGTGTGTGTGTGTGTGTGTGTGTGTGTAAAATGTATATAATAACTCCATCCAGAAAATCTTAATTCAGTTATGTAAAACACACATCAATGCCTCCCAGTGAATTACTTTGTATTTAGGAAACACTGGTAAAGAAAGGCAGGCAATAGATGATGTTCCCATTTTGCAGAGGAAGAAACTAAGGCAGCATCAAATTAATCAACTAAGGTTCTTATGCTAGGAATGTCAGGCTATCAGATATCATTTTAAGTAAACATCAGTTATCATAAGTTTATAAGAGGGATGAGTGATTAAGTAACACACCCAACTGATAGGTGTTCTCCATCTGGACTGCAAGGCGAGAGACCTCGTCACGTTGGCCTGGTTCATCCATATAAGACACGGTACTCATAGAGCTAAAAGCAAGGGAGAAAATACACTTTAACCACTCTTATTATAATAATTTAAAAAACCCATACTATTGCTTTAAGCTAATATATTTACAGAGGTAAAATCTTCTCTATGGAAATTTCAAGTAAGTCTTATATAAATATTCCAGTGACCTATTTAAAGTCTAAAATATGTTAGAGATGGAAACAACTGAGATGACGAGAAGTTAGTTGGAGCAAGTATCAGTGAGTGGTTGAAGGCTGGTGGAGTTACCCAGGTCATCTGGCCATCCAGAAAGTGCCCTTGGGTTGCTGTATGTCTATAGTGTGACAGAGTGTCTGCTTCAAAAGCCACTGCCAATTGCATCTCTAACACAGATGCAAAAATATTCCTCAAAGTAGACAAAGCTCACAAGGGACTGGTGATATATAAGGGAGCTTATAATGTTGGGAAACAAATCTGTGTATACATGGGGTATTATAAAAAGCTCACTATTGTACGTTCCTACCAAATCCCTTTAGTATAAAGGAGAAAAATGAGAAACTTATCTACGTGGTGAAAGAAACCACAATTCACCCAAACTATTCTAAGTCAATAAGCATCAATCACCCTTTTCAACATTAAGAAAGAGTTTGGGCTTGATTACCAAGGCAACCTGAGCTTATCCAGGTGCTAAATAGGAGACACAAGCAAAGGGGAGCCCCCACTGTCCCTCCAGCACTACTTAATTCAGTTTAGCACAGATGAAATTCAACTGCGAACTCTCTACCCCCAATTTCCTCCACCTGTGAACGTGGAAGTTGAGACAGATGTCATTTCAAAGGAGATGCTGGAATAGCATGTGTAAACAGAGTGACCACTTTTCTAAATAGGCTTTTTTTTTTTTTTTGCTTTAATTAAATGAGAACGAGATATCTGTTCTTAACCCTTTGGGGGTTTCCTCTGTAAGGAGTTGAAATACTTAATTCTCAGCTCTGTGGAATTAATGAACTTCTTGCAAATTGATATTTTTAAGGACACCATGGATAGTTTACCTGAAAAATCCTTTAATACAATACAATTTACAGAATAAATTAAGGTTTACCCAACCAGCCCAAGAAAGGGATGCAGGAAATACTGGCTTCTTTTTCCCCACGTGGTGGGTTTCTGGATTAGTGATTTTCTCTTCTTTTTTATAACACCTGTGTGCCTCAGTTTTCTGCTGCCCTTTGAAGTAGCAAGCAACCTAATTGGCTCTAGCGGCCGCAGGTGTTGTGGGTAGTATCAAAGATGAACGTTTCTGCTTTGAAAACCCCATGTTGTATAAGCCCCTCTATTCTGAGATCACTCAGTGCACCCCAGAATGGTAGGTGCTTTCAGCTTTGCAAAACATTTACCATCAGTTATCTCACTTTAAAACCTTCACAATATCCTGTAACATAAGCAAAGGAGTCATTATTCTACCCATTTCAGAGATAAAGGAAATGAAGCAAAGGGTTTAATGTCGTACATGTTGGGAAGAAGACAGATTTCAAATATTGAGCTCCCTATTGAGTTCCCAGTGACAAAGTCTCACATATGATGATATCTGACAGAATGAAAATAACTACTTGACATAATCAATTACTGTAATTAAAATTTATATGCACGGACTTCAGAAGGTTTTGATAAAAACTCTATTTCTTTTCTACTAAATACCATACTAAAAATTCAGAGACAGTGAAGTAGAGTTGGTACAACGCTCAAACTAGCTGGGGTGAATAGTCTAAGACTAAAACTAAGGCAAATAAGAATTTTTATAAACAATCCTCACTATTGCTTTATTCAGACTTACTGAAGATTAATAATCATGTACTTCATAGTATCATTGCTATGAAATTAGTGTCATAAGGGCAGCTTTAAAAAACTCTAATGGTAAAAAATTGGCATGCAAATAGAAAGTTTTACAGATTGGCTTTTTATGAATTTTTGAAGACGATTTCATTCAGTACCTTTTTATTTCCACAGTAGTCACATAAACAATGTATACTTGTTAAAAATTGAAAGCACATAGAAAATTACAAAGAAATAAAATTATACAAAAATGACAAACCTCAGTGGTTACCTAACCACTATCCACATTAAGAATTCTTTTCAGTGATACATCTTGCATATGGAATTGTAGCATAGCTGCTGGTGTTATTTTAGCTTTCCATTTGAAACTGTATCATGGATAACTTTCCATGTCAACAAAGAGTAGTGTGTATCAATATTTTAAATATCAAGACAGCACTTACCATATGAATATTCTGCATTTTGTTAACCATTTATTCACTGAACCTTTTAAGTTGTTTCCAATATTCCATTATCATAAATAAAATTGTAATAAGCATTGTGGCATGGACAGCCATTTTCTTTCCAATGTTGTTCTCTCCTTCTTTGGTAACAGAACCCTAAGTTTGTGAGAATATTTCTGTTTAAATTAAAGGCAAATTCTTAGTCTCTTTTTCTTATTGTAGTTACATGGCTTGAAATAATGAGATGCAAATGAAACTGCAGAGATTTTGAGAAAGCTTCCTCAAAAGCAAAACAAATTGAATTTAACCAACAGAAACCTGTTTTTCCCCTTCTTGGTTAGTGGAATATGGATATGATGGTAGGAGCTCAGCAGCTTCTTGGTCCTTGAGATGACCTGTGGATCATATAGATCAGAATGACCAAAGCCCAGTTCCCTGAATTGCCTCCCTCTAGGCTTCTTTTATGTAAGAGAAAAATAAGTTCCTATTTTATTTAAACTACTGCTTGTTTTTAAAATAAATAATTAAGTTCATAACCAACTTGAATCTAATGTATGAAATATGATATGTCAAGAGCTTTATAATGTTTTGAACAACCAATAAAAAAATAAATTAAAAAATAAATAAATAAATAAATAAAATAAAGGTATTGTGCCCATCTACAACTAAAAAAAAAATAAATAAAATAAATAATTATAAGACACATTAGGTGTAACTGACATAAATTCTAATTGATGCAGTTTGCCACTTTTGAGGGCAATGCTTCAAGCAATAGAATATGAAACTGGACGTTAATTTTGTGGAGGAGATGAAGCTTTGAGGGACAAGGTTTCAGATAGTTTGATGGAAACCTGGAAACCTTTATCATGTTTAGTTAATTGTCTTCCATACCTTTCGAGGCTGCCCATGTCCCCATCAAGACTATAACTTCATGAAAAATTGTAAGAAAATCTTACTTTTCAAAAACCGTGTGTGTGTGTGTGTGTGTGTGTGTGTGTGTGTTTGCTTGAAGTACTGGGGCTCAAAATGAGAGCTTTACACATTAGGCAAGTGCTCACCCATTGAGCTCCACCCTAAACCCTATTTATGGTATTTTTGAAAACCCAGATCTGATAGTTCTGATATCAGAATGAGATGGATTAGAGAAAACGAAAAAAAGAAGAATGAGCTGAATTTTAAAAACTAAGGTATTTAGTCCTTGAGAAAAGAGTTAAAATATTAAAAATACTTGCTATATGGGCAAATAACATTCAACTAGAATATGGGTGTGGCAAATTTTTAGAAATGAAAGAGTTCCTATATTTTAAAATTGGGGGATTTAGTATTAAGTTCAGAACACTGACTTAGGAAAAATGTGGATATATTTTCTACCAATAAATAGCATCACTCAAGCCCTTTCAAATCTTTAAAGATAAAACGAGGTACTCCAGAAATAAATTACAATTTTAATTATTAATGGTATATATATATATATATATATATACATATATATATATATATATATATATATATATATATATATAAATGTATATCATCATATATGTATTGGATACCTGTCACAACATTGCAAGTTGAGTGGATGAATTTCAGTTGTCCCATAAAATTTATATCAAAATGTATAAATTTGATACAGAATTCAGTGAATGCTGGCAATTGTATGTGCTACTATGAGAACAGTTAAAAATTAGCTTTCACGGAGAAAGAGCTATTGTACAAAATAACAAACTTTAGCTCTTATATTGTAGCTGGCTGACTTTGGAAATGTCTCATACTAACCTCTCATTATTGCTGAGAGCAATATGGCTTTGAACCTGTGCATCCATCCAGGGCTACAACAGAGGTTCCATCAGGTATCTTTGACCCTCACCTCACCTCTTGGATGAGCTTTAGCTCAGTGCCCTTCAGACACTAACTCTCTTCTCTCCTCACACATTCACAACTACTGTGTTTTGTGGTTTTTGCAGCAAGGAGGCAAAAAAAAAAAAAAAAAAAAAAAGAATGTGGAACTTATTTATTCTTTGATGAAATTTATTTTCTCAAAAACATGTTGCAAATTTTCTTACTGACCCATCCATGGATTACATAGACTACAAGGCCTGTCTTATTGCTATGACTGTTGGAGACAGTAACAATAACTTCAATTAAATATCAGCAGACACCATAGCATCTATTCTTATTGAGAGCTCCTTTTCAGACATTTTCACTGCCATTTTTCACCATTTATTTAGTTATTTAGCTGACACATAAAATTGTACATATTTGAGTATCACATGATGTTTTGATACATGTTCACATTGTGTAATGTTCAAATCAGGGTAATCATATCAGGTAATCATATCTTTTCAAACATTTATCATTTATTTGGATGAAAACATCAAAAATTCTTTCTCCCAGCTTTTATTTCTTTTTAAGAAAAACCTACAATACATTATTGTTTACTTTGAAGTTTTGAAGCTGAAACAAGAGGTAACTAAATGTCAGAAGTATCATCTCTTAAATGAATTACAGTAGATGGGGTAGAGAGAGAAGATGGGAGGGGAGAGGAGGGGAGATAGTAGAGGATAGGAAAGGTAGCAGAATACAACAGTTACTAATAGGGCATTATGTAAAAATGTAGATGTGTAACCGACGTGATTCTGCAATCTGTATTTGGGGTAAAATTGGGAGTTCAAAACCCACCTGAATCAAATGTATGAAATATGATATGTCAAGAGCTTTGTAATGTTTTGAACAACCAATAAAAAAAAAAGAAGTATCATCTCTTCCTTGTCTTTGTAAATAAG